AGCTGGTCCAAATAGAAGATAGAAAATAAGACTGAACCTTTATTGGTAGAAGGAGCTCCCAAGGGAGGAAATTCCCTTTACCATTGCAAGTTGGCACCTTCTTTGCAATTTACAATCTGAGGGAGTAGCCTAGAGTACTGGGACATTAAGTGACTTGCCCAGACTTTCAGAAAGCCAGTGTCACAGGCAATACTTGAACCCAGATTTTTCCTGCCTTTGAGGCTAGCTCTCTATCCACTATGCATACCATGCAGTCTTGCCAAATAAATGCTGCCACTAAATACAAAGTTTTTGTTTTTCAGTCTTTTTTTTTCAGTTGGTTTTTTGCTTTGTTGTTATTCCAGCCATATCCAACTCTTTCATGGCCCCGTTTGGGGTTTTCTTGTCAAAGAGGCTGGAGTGATTTGCCATTTCTTTCTTCAGCCCATTTTACAAATTGAGAAAACCGAGCAAACAAGGTTAAGTGGCTTGCTCAGGGTCCCACAGTTAGTAAAAAAAGGCCAGATTTGAGCTTGGAAGATGTGTCTTCCTGACTCCAGGACTGGCACTCTCTTCACCCAGCTGCCCCAATCAAATGACAACTTCTAGAAGGCCCTTAGGGAACTTGACTTAGTGAATAGATAAGAATGATTTATAATTAATATCAGTTATTTAGACATGTATGCTTTCAAGATACTTGAGAATGCTTGGAAAGAGTTGTTCCACATTCCCCTTGCGATCTTTTTTTGTTTGTTTTTGAGGCAATGGGGTTAAGTGACTTGCCCAGAGTCATACAGCTAGTAAGTGTCAAGTGTCTGAGACCAGATTTGAACTTAGTTCCTCCTGACTCCAGGGCCACCTAGCTTCCCCTGCCCCGCTTGTGATCTTAAATGTATAGTAAGCCCATACCTCATGCAAAGCCCCTATAGTCACTCCTGACTGAGGCATTGGCAAAAGGATGTTTTTTTGGGTAACATTTGGTTGTTATATGTGTGATGGCCTGCAGGGGTGGGGAACCTATTGCCTTCTAAGGCCTTTGAGGGCCACACTTGAGGACCTAGAAGGCCACAGGTTCCCCAAACCCTGCTCTAGTCCAACCCCATAATTTCACTAATGAAGAAACCGGGGCCCAGAGACTCCAGGTCACAAAAAAAGTTAGTAAAAGGCAGAGCTGGGATTTGAATTCAGGTCCTTTGACTCCAAAGCCTGCATTCTTTCCACTGTACCAACTTCTTCCTTGTTAATGATATAAATTTGACCTGAGGAAGTTTGACAGGTGGCCAGGCCCTACATGGAATTCTAATGGCTACTGACTTTCAGAGGACAGGCAGTCCTTGTTCCCTGAACATTAAATAGAAGCTTGAGGCATTGAAAGGAATGATTTCCATTTCACTGAATTTTGTAGGAACTGTATTTTCCCTTCAGGCTTCCTGTTGCTCCTTCCCAGGTTAAAAGTTAATGGTGCCTGATCACTTTGTAAGCTCCTGTTATCCAAGGTGATAATACAAAATCTCAGGATGGAGTTCTCAATTTGACTTTATGACTTTATAAGCTTCTTATGCCTTTCCGAACTTTACCAGCAAATTGGCCTCCTTGCAAAAGGCCCACTCCAACACTAACCACCTCTCTTCTTACCCTCAATATGCCCTTTAGAACTTTTCCTTCGATTGGTTTATAACAACATAACATAAAAAACAGAGCACAAAGTATGTATTCATCACCTACTGTGCACAGATCACTTTGTGTTAGGAACTAGGAGAGATGCCCAGCTTAGATTAGGCATGGTTCCTGTTCTGGGTGAATGAATGAGCATTTATTAAGTTGCCTGCTATGGGCCAGGCATTGTGTTAGGCACGGGAGATGCAAAGCCAAAAACGGAGACGTTTCTGCTCTCATTAATCTTACTAATGGAGAAAGGACACCAACAAATAACTCAAAAGTGCATTAACCATGTGCAAAATAAAGTGATGCCTTGGAGAGAAGGTAGTTGCTGATAAGAAGGATCAAGGGAGTCTTTCTGGAGGTGGTGGTATTTGAGTTGGGCTCTGAAAGATATTTAATAGGAAAAGAGGGGAAATAAGGTGATTTCCAGCATAGGAAAACAGCAAAGAGGTGAGACAGCACAAAGCATGTTGGAGTAGGGGAAGGTCATTCCAGTCTGACTGAAGCATAGAGAAAATGGAGAGAATATGAGATAAGACTGGGAATGTAGATTGAGGCAACATTACATAGGGCTTTGCATGCCCAATTTGGGAAAAGGGGAGACTCTGAAGATTTTTCTTTTTAAGGTAGAGAAAAAGAGGCAACTAGTTGGCTCAGTGGATAGAGCACAGGCCCTGAAATCAGGAGGACCTGAGTTCAAATCTGGCCTCAGACCAAACACTTGACACTTACTAGTTATGTGACCTTGGGCAAGTCACTTAACCCCAATTGTCTAAAGAAAATAAATAAATAAAGCAGAGAAAAGACAAGACCAGGTCCACACCCATAAACCAGTCACCTCCTTAGTTTCTGATACATCTTTTGGCTTTTGTGGCCAAAACTGATCTCTGGAATTTACCACTGCCCTCTTCATAGTCATATTCAACAAACTTCTATTAATATTATCTTCCTTAACCATTCATGAAACTGTTAGTCAGTATTTCTTCCATTTTTGAGATTTCCTCCTGCCTTGGTTTTGTTGTTTTTATTGTTGTTTTGGGGTTTGGTTGTTTTGGGGATTTTTTTTTGAGATTACACACAGTCCTAATTTGCCCTACTTCTTCAACATGCTCACTAATTCACCTTCTTAATCCTTTAATGTTCATTCAACATTCTGTCCCTGACTCTCTTCTCTCCCTACTCTCTTTTCTCCCTTAGCAATCCCTGTAACATCTGCAAGGGGAGAAAACATATGAACTGGAGAAGGAAATGGCAACCCCCCCCAATATCTTTGCTAAGAAAACCCAATGGAATTTTACCTCAGTTTCCTTATCTATAAATGAACTAGAAAAAGAAATGGCAAACCACTCCAGCATCTTTGCCAAGAAAACCACAGAAGGGGCAGAAACGATTGAACAACATTTATTTTAAAAAGTGAAAGAAAATAGAAGAAAATGTTTAAAAAAGAAAACTAGTTCATTCAAGCACTTACTACCACATGCCTCTAACCTTAACATGTCATTTATTACTACCTACCTCAGAGTTATGAGGGAAATACTTTTTTAGTATAGGGTGGGACATGACTGAAAAGAACTCAACAATATGATCAGTTTATGATCTAAATTAGGTCCAACTTATAATCAACACTCCTCCCCATCCTGCTCCCTGTGAAATTTCATTCATTATGATAACAGTCTATAAAGTGAGGATCAGAAGATCATTTGTGACATAAATGAGATAATGAAGTAACTGAACACCTGTATAAATTCCCTCTGTTGATTATCTCCAGTTTATCTTGTGTGTGGTTTACATGTTGTCTCTCCCATTAGACTCAGTTCCTTGAGAGGGTGTTGGTTAGTAAAAGAAAGAAGGTCAATTTGGTTAGATCAATAGTGTCAAACTCCAACGGATAGGCATCCAATTTATACTACTGGGTAATTTTGCACACATTTTGCATGTGGGAGTAGATTGCAGGCCTGTTAGGAGAGGGCTGATTACAAGTAGACATTGTTTCCTCTGGGCATGGATATGAGTCTTACTTGTTTCATTAACTTGTGGATAAAATTGTTTCTATTCTGAGCGTTAGAAGCCTGTGTGCTTGTAAGAGGACATGGTGGTCATACCCTGTGTGTTTTACAGGGGTTTGTATGTCAGATGCTAAAGGTTCCTGGTCACTTGGCAGTAAGACAGAGAAGTCTCCCAAAGTATTTTGAGGTCATACATATCAGCCAGGAGCTTCTGATAAAAGGTTAAATACATATGTGATATACAGGGCTATACCTCTAAAATTGCATGGTTTGGTATAATGGAAAAGTCATTGGATTTGGAGTCCTGGGTTCAAATTCTGGCTACTTAATATTGTGACCTTGGCAAATCATTGCACTTTAGTGGGCTTCAGTTTCCTTATCCATGAATTTAAGTCATTAGATGGACTAGATGATTTCTAAATACTTCTAAATACAAATTCTAAATACTATGAACCCTATGCATATTGTGTCAACCAAATCACAATGCTTTCCATTCCTGCATCCTCTATCATTCCCTATAAGAGATAATAACTCATTTAAATAGTGCTTGAAAGTTTAAAAAAGTGCTTTCCTCATAACTCTGAGGTAGGTAGTAATAAATAACATGTTACGGTAAGCAGGTGGTAGTAAATGATTGAATGAACTAGTTTTCTTTTTTAAATATTTTCTCATATTTCACTTTTTAAAATAAATGTTGTTGTTTGTCTGCCCCTTTTGTGGTTTTCCTGGCAAAGATATTGAAGTGGTTTGTCATTTCTTTCTCTAAATCATTTACAGATAAGGAAACAGAGGTAAACAGGATTGAGTGACTTGACCAGGGTCACACAGCTAGTAAGTGTCAAGTGTTTGGTCTGAGGCTAGATTTGAACTCAGGTCCTCCTGACTCCAGGGCTGGTGCTCTATCCACTGAACCACCTAGCTACCCCTGAGGCTAAATTTGAACTCAGGAAGATGAGTTTACCTGAGTACAGGCTCAGAATTCTACCCACTGTGCCACCTAGATGCCCCCTTAAAATAAATAATATTACATAAAATTCAAAGAAGGGTAGTGTTGTATAGTGGTGAAAAGGCTAGCCTTAGGGTCAGGAAGACCTGGGTTCAAGACATTCAGGTTCACAACGTTGGTGTCATCTTCAACTCCTATTCTCTCCCCTATGTTTCTCATCGTTTAGCAAACCTTCACAGTTCTACCTTCACAACATCTCTTGCACCTGTCCTCTTCCTCACACTCTGCCTCCACTGTAGTTCAGATGTCCATTGCTTCTTGCCTAGACTATTCACGATACCCTCCAAACTGGTCCCCCTGAGACCTGAGACACTATAGCTGACTACAGTCATTTTCCTTTGGTTTAGGTCTGACCTACTCAGCAAACTCCAATGGCTCCCTATTACCTCCAGGATCAAATGTAAGCTGTTCTGCATGATATTTAAAGCTTGGTACACACTAATCACTAAATCTCCAGCCAAACTTGCCTTCTTAATGTTCCTAGCACATGACATTCTATCTCTGTGGCTTTACTACTTGTATTTACCTTGTATTTATTTTTCATATATCTTATATACATGTATGTATATATTGTGTCCCTCTATAGGGAATATAAGTTTCATGAGGGTAGGGACAATTTGTTTCACTTTGATATTTGTATCACCACCACTTAGAGGAAACCCATGGCTAAAGGAACCATCTCCTGGTGCACCTTACAAGTGACTCTTTCCAATTTCATGGTGATTTTATAGTGGCTGATGATAATTTATATCCTAAGTGCTCAAACATTATGTCTCACCTACTTTGTACTCCCTTTCTCACCCCCACCCCATGCAAACGTTCAGGGAAAGTATCTCACTCTCACCAATTGTCTTTTAGTGCCCTCAACTACTTGGGCAACTGGCCACTTGGTCGAATTACCCAGGACTACATATCTACCCCTCACCCCCACCAAATATAGAGGAGAGGGAATGGAAAAGAGCCCAACATCCTCAGTACCCAAGGTATGAGGAGAGATTTAAAATTTCATTGCAATAACTCTTTAGTGCAATTACAATATGTGTTCTCTCTCTATCTCTCTCTCTCTCTTAGGAACCTTAACTTCCTTCGAAGCACACCTCAGGTGCCACCTCCAACACGGGGCTTTGCCTGATTTCACCCATTGTTAGTGCTTTCACTCCTTGAAATTAATTTGTACAACTCTGCACGTACTTGAATTAATGGTGTATACCTTGTATCCTGTATAGAATGCAAACTTTTGAAGGCAGGACAATTCCTATTTTGGGTGGAGGGGTCCTTGGTTGGGACAGAAAGGCCATTTCATCCACCACCACCCCAATTTTACAGAGAAGGAAACTGAGACCCAGAGAGGCTAAATATTCATCTTTTATAAGCAGCACCCCAAATGCCTAGCACAGAGCCTTGAATGGGGCAAGTACTTAATAAATGTCTGTTGAACTTAATTGCATTGGATCTTGTACTTCACTTTCTCTTTTAAATTTTGTATCTTTGGGTTTTCCTATCACCTTCACCTGCACATATCTCTCCCGTCTCCAAGGAGTCATCCTTTGTGATAGAAAGAAAGAGAGAGAGAGAAATAGGAGAGGAGAGAGAAAAAGAGAGAGTTCAGCAAATGAACAACACATCAACTGTATCTGACAGCATGTGCAATCTCCCTCCACCCATCTGCAAAGAAAAGGAGATGCACCTCATCTCTTCTCTTCTGGTTTTTCATGGGGTATATTGGGGGGGGGAGAGAAGCTGCTTCCTTTCATTTTATTTTTTGGGGGGCTAGGCAATGGGGTTAAGTGACTTGCCCAGAGTCACACAGCTAGTAAGTGTTATGTGTCTGAGGGCCAATTTGAACTCAGGTCCTCCTGAATCCAGGGCCTCTATTCACTGCGCCATCTAGCTGCCCCCTTTCATTTTTTTAATTGCTGAAATTGATTTTGCATTTTGTTTCTCTGGTTCTGTTGACTTCACTTTGCATCAGTTCATATGTATTGCCATGCTGATTACATCCATGTATCAAAATTTATTCAGCCATTCATTCCCCCCACATACATTGTTTCCACTTTGTTACTGCAATGAGTGGGCTAATAATATTTGGGTGTATCTTTAACCTCCTTGGGTTGTCCAGTTCACTTTAAAATGTGTTTTTTTTTTAAAATACACTAATTTTCTTTCTGTTCACTATATTGAACTATTGTAGAGAATGAGTACAGGTGGACAAGTGAGGAAGATAATTCACCTTCTCCAAAAACAAAACTCAGAAATGTACAGATTTGGTTGGCTTGACTATAAATCCTTTGGATAAACTCAAGTTTACCTCCTAGCTTTAAACCACAGGTCGAGTAGTTGTGACCTCAGCAAAAGGGTGTGGTGTTTTGTTTTGTTTGGGTTTTTTTTTTTTCAGGCATGTGAAACTTCAGACCAGATATACACCTTGGAAGAATTAAGAGTCAGAAACAAGTGTGAAGATCAAGCAGCTTTGAGGTGCTTCCCTGGGGCTGAATGAAATGGAGCTGACAGAAACTAAGCTTAACCTCAGTGGAGAGGATGTTTATTCCAATGCTGCTTTTGAGGTATGTAGGACCTTGTGTTTTGACTGTGGTTGCTGCTGCTGCTGCTGCTTTAACCACAACCAATATGTGTATTAGCCTTTAGGTTGAGAAACAATCTTCCCACATACCTTTTGGGTATTTGGCCAGGTGCTTAAAGAAACAATTAAGATTAGTGGTAGGGGGAGGGCCTGTTAAAGATTTAGCTCTTATAAAGTCTTTATAGCTAGTTTGCGTTCGTCCTGAGCTTTCTATTGTGTTGAGGAACCTGAAAAGTCTCTTTAGCCCTAGCCTGCTTGGATCTCAACTTTACTCCGTCATTTAGTCAGTCAGTCATAAAGCATTTATTAAACGCCTGCTACTGTGCTAAGTAAGCTCTAGGGATACAAAGAAATACAAAAGACAGTTCTTGGTCTAGCTTTCTTAGCTTTCAGTCAAAGCAGGTAGACAATATTAAAATAAAATTAAGTGCAAACAGATAGTCAACAGAAAGAAGGGATTAACATTTAAGGCAGTTCTGGAAAAAACCTTGTAGAAAGGATTTTAGCTGGAAGTTAAAGAAAGCCAGGAGACAAATGAGGAGGGAAAGACCTCCAGGCATGGAATAAGGCCAGTGAAAATGCTGGGATTTATTTTAGAGCTGGAAAGGATTTACATATAAAGAAACCGAGATGCTGGGAAATGGGAATGCCTACCTTAAAGTCATATATTTGCTCTATCTCTATTCTGGAAATGTTGAATGGCTAGAGAGCTAAATTTGCAGTAAAGAAGACCTGGGTTCAAATCCTATTGATGAGGTTCAGGAGCACCCCAAAGTGTTGGGGTTCAAGGTTGTCTCGAAAGAGATCGCTCAGGCTGTCTCTTTCAAATCAAATAAAGGCATTTCTTGGGATAACACAACACAACACACCAAGCAGGCTTTTCCGCCCCTTAAGGGAGACACAGCTTAAAGGGGGGTGGTAAACCCCCAAGGGAGATGGGTCCTTAATAGGGACCCACGCTGTATCTCCCTTAAGGGGTGGAGGAGCCTGCTTGGTGTGTAGTGTTACCTTTGAATGCCTTTATTTGATTTGGAGACCACCTGAGTGAATTCTTTCCAAGACAGCCTTGCACCCCAACATTTTGGGTGCCCCTGAACCTCGTCACTATCTCTACTGTGTAATAGCTATGTGACCATGGACAAATCACTTCACTTGTCTTTGAATTTCAGTTTCTTCATCTTAGACAAAACAGACTGTTTTGTATCTGTCTTTGCATTCCCAGACCCTTAGCATAAAACCTTGAATGTGATAATTTAAGGGAGGTAGTCTCTACCTCACAGAGCTGCCATGAGCTCCAAATGAGATAATTCATATAAAATGCTTCAAACCTTTCCTCACCTGCTACCCCCTACACACCTATGATTTCATTGGTGCAGGAAAACTTCCTCTAACAAAGCCGTGTGGTGCCTGCCCTGCAACTCCCAATCTTGGCTGCCTAGGGACAATGAGAGAGGTTAAAAGACTTCCCCAGAGCCACCAGTCTCACAGACAGTATGGGTCAGGGGAGGGACTGTTCTCTGGCTAACACCAAGGCTGCTTCTTCTGCATTAAATATACCATTTGCAAGCTTACAAGTGCCTGATGCAGGTTAATGCTTATATTTCTCTTTTGTCCAATTCAGGGTAAGGTTGAACTAAGAGTTGCAGGATCATAGGTATGTAGGGATCTTAGAGACCATCTAGCCCAACCCCTTTATTTTACAGATGAGGAAACTGAAATCCAGAAAGAGTAAAAAGTATCTATTAAGTAGCAAATGGAAGAGTCAAAATTTGAACCTGGGTCTTGGTGATAAGCACTTTAGTATTTGGTGTATGAAAGCCTGTCTGTACTACTAGTGAAATCCACAGTAACAAGGCAAATTCTGCTTTCCCCTCCGAACCACCATCACAAAACAAAGTAAACAAACAAACAAACAAAAACTAGCCACAAATGCACCTTAACCCATGTTCTGGTCCACGATCTAACCTTACCTCGAAAGTCTCAGTATAGCAGAAAACCCTCCTAGTTTGCTCAGTGTAAGCAAAGCATTCTGGTTTCCTGGGCAGCTAACCAGTGGGGAATGTTTGCACAGGCCAGCACCAGGCTACACTGAGCAGTTCCTGCTGTTCCTGAGACTCTGGGGGTTGGAGAGTAAAAATCGTCCTTTGAGCTGGCTAACCCGTTGGCAAGGGGGATGTTCAGCTTGCTTCACACTGATTGAGCAAAACTGGGAATGGCTCTATGCCACCCCACACTTCTAGGCAATACCTCGGAGTGCTTCCCCCACCAAGCAAGCCAGAGGAGGAATAAAGGGAGAAGAAACTAACTCTAAAGTCCAGGACCAAATCTTTTTTTTTTTTTTTCTTTTTTGGCAATTGGAGTTAAGTGACTTGCCCAGGGTCACACAGCTAGTAAGTATCAAGTGTTTGGTCTGAGGCCACATTTGAACTCAGGTCCTCCTGACTTAAGGGCCCGTGCTGTATCCACTGCGCTGCCTAGCTGCCCCATAAGGACCAAATCTTCTGTTTAGCTTTTAGATTCCTTCACCACCCAACTTTTCCAGCCTTTTTAGTCTTTGCTCCCCTCCTTACTGTTTCTTGAATAATATCAATAATCGGATTCATGTTATGCTTTTAGGGTTTATAAAGCATTGTACATAGGTTATCTCACTTGACCCTCCCAACTGCCCTGTGAAGTGGGTGCTATTATAATCCCCATTTTACAGATGAGGAAACTGAAGCATACAGAGGTTAAGTGACTTTGTCCAAGGTACCACACACAGCTAGTAAGTGTCTGAAATGGCATTTGAATTCAAGTCCTCCTAACTTCCTGAGCTTCCTCAACATAGCATTCCCATCTCCCGACTGCCTTTTCACTTGCTTTCCCCCAAGCCTGGAATGCTCTCCCTCCTAACCTATGTCTCCTGTCTTCTTTCACGACAAAGTTCAAAGGCTACTTTCTCCAAGTCCTTTCCCAATTCCTGCAATGACCCCCACCCCCCTGCCCACTGCTAATGTTCCCCAGTTTATTCTGTATATTATCTTTATACAAAGTTGTTAGTATGATGTCTCCCCTATTAGAATATAAGCTCTTTGAGATGTTAGGATCTGTGGTTCTGCCTTTCTTTGCATCCTTAGTGCTTAGCACAGTGCCTGGCACATAATAAGTACTTAAATATTTGTTGGCTGACTAAATGAATACATAAAAAGAAAAGGGCAAACTAGAAAGTAAAGAAGGAGAAAGAATCAGAATGGGGAGACAGAGGTTGCTATAGCTGGAAAAAATTTCCTCAGACAATTCTGGCTGTAGGCAGTTATATTAGCTCTTATAATTCTGCTTTAGGCAAGTCAAAGTAAGCTTAGCTCTCCTCCTGGGCCTCCAGTGACAAAAGCCCAATTGATCCAGAACTGTCCCCTAGTTCCTCTCCCCATTTACAGCTTGGTTGTCCTGAGTCCCATCTCCTGAGACTCCTTGACTGCTTCTAAAAACAAAAAACCAAACAAAACAAAAAAACCGATTACAGACAATGGTCAAAAAAGGTTTACTGTGTTTTAAAAATAAACAAGATGTTTGCCTGTTAGCCAGTAATTCCTAACCAGGAAAAGTTTTCATCTAAAAGAATTAATCTCTAATAGTGCCTTTTAGGGTTTCCCAGTGAGGAAGCTATTTGGATAAATGGGTTGCCTTAACCCATGTTCTGAAAATTATACCATGCAGTATCCTACTTTATCTGTATTGTTGATAAGAGGTAGTTCTTATCAACTCAGTATCCCACTTTCTACAACAGCTCTTCCAAACCTTTTCATCCCTCCTCAAACCTCCCATGATTCCCTCTCCCTTGACTTTGAGCTAAGAACGTTATCTCATACTTAACTGGGGGAAAAAAATGAGGCCATTCGCCATGAACTCTTTCTCTCTTCCTCATCTCCTGTACCCAGGTGTCTTCTGCCCTGTTTCTCCTCCTTCATCCCTGTTTCACATGATGAAGTGGCCTTATTCCTTACCAAGACTAACTCCTCCACTTGTTCAGGCAATGCCATTGTATTCCATCTCCTCCAACAGATTGCCCTGTCATTCCCATTCTTTCAGTTATTTTCAATCTTTCCCTCTCCGCTGGCTCATGTCATACTAGTCCGTATCTCCCCAATCTGAAAAAAATCACCACTTCCGTCTCTGATAACTCTTGTCTTATCTCTTCTACCCCTTGTAGCTAAAGTCCTTGAAAATCTGTCTATAATAGGTGCCTCCACTTTCTCTTCTCTCTTTCTTCTTAACCCTTTACAATCTGGCTTCTGACTTTATCATTCTACTCCAAAGTTGTTTGTGATCTCCTAGCTGCCAAATCCAATGGCCTTTTCTCGGACCTCCTTCTTGGCCTCTCTACAACCTTTGACATTGGTTGGCACATCTCTCTCTCTCTATCTCTATCTTTCTCTCACTCTGTCAGTAGGTTTTTAGGTACCTTTCAGGGTTCTGTCCAGGGCCCTCTTCCCTTCTCCCTCTTTCCCACCTCACTTGGTGATCTCATTAGCTTCCCTGGATTTAATGACCGTCTCTATGCTGATGACTCTCAAATCTACCTGTCCTGTCCCAGTCTCTCTGCTGACCTCCAATCTCACATCTCCATCTGCCTTTCAGACCTTCCAACTGGATGTTCAAAAATCATTTTAAACTCATTATATGCAAAACAGAACTTATTATCGTTCCCCTTAAGCCCTACCCCACCCATCCTACCTTTTCTATTACCATAGAGGATAATACCATTCTTCCAGTCCTTCATTATCTTTCACCTTACCCGCTATATCCAGTCTGTCTGCTAAGGCCTGGAGATTTCACCTTTCCCTCTTTTGATGCTACCATCACTCTGGTGCAGGCCCTCATTACCTCATGCCTAGATTATTGCTGCAGGTGAATCTTGCCGCCTTAAGTCTCTCCCCACTCCAACCCATCTTCCATTCAGCCAGGTATCATGTCACATCTTCCCCTACTCAAACTCCAGTGGCT